CCCATCATAAGCCTGAAGAGCATGAAATTTTAAATCTTTCATTGTCAATGTTTTCTGACGCACTTTAATCAGAACTTCGTTCGCTTGTTACAAAATGTTCCAATGCCTCAGGTGGCATGCGTGTTGAACCAGTCACGCTTGCTATTCAGGGCACTCCTGTTTTAATAAAGCGATGAACCATTCCATTTGGTCTTAAGGAGCCTGTGATGAAGTCACTAGAGAATGTGGCTGAAAAGTCATAATTTCGTCAGTTCATACTTCCGCTTGGGCCACACGAATCCTTACTTCGCTCAAATGTGATGGTAAGACACCCAGCATTTGTGGCGAGTACCGCGCTAAACTGAACATTGCCTTTTGCAAAGGTGCTGCATCAGTACTGAGCCCGAGGACATTCTTTAACAGTTGAGCTGGTCCAGGTGATTTTCGAAACTCGACTTGAAAGCCGCTTACGTGCAGATTCCTCTTGATAAGCAATCCAGTGCTCTCACCACCATTTATACGCTACATTTTTTGCCATTTGGACTCAGAGTGTCAACGTCGATTCTCCAGGAAGTTATGAATTCTGTGACCTACGGCTTGAACGGTACTTCAGCATGCCAAAATAATATTATTGTACACGCGCTTACGACATCCATTCACGACGAGAGACTGTGCACCATCGGAAAGATTTTGTTTATTTAATATGACCCGTCGAAGTGCATTTTTGGTACAACAAATTTTCCTGTCTTGGTTATCTAGTTGACGGAAGTGGTTTTTTCCCAGATCCTGCTCGTTTTTTCGATGCTCTCCAAAGCTTCTACTCCGAAGAAGTTGGACAAACTTCGTTTACTGATGGGATCATTGTAGTATTACTCAAGATTTATTACCAAGTGTGCTGCAAAGGCAGAGCCACTGTTTGTAGTACAATCTTAGAAAACCTTTATTTGGTCTCAAATTCATGAGGATGAGTTGAGTAATGTATTTTGATTGCTGTCCGCGGATACCGTTCTAGGTCCATTTTACCAAAAGTACCCTCTACCGTAATTGCAGCTGCATCACCTACCGGTATCGGGGCAGTACTAGAACAATATGGTCATCACGTATTGTGTGTTTCCAGACGTCTGAGTGTAACTGAACTTGGATACGCACAAACAAAGAGAGAATCTCTTGCAGTGCATGAAGCAATCTCAAGTCCACACAAATATCTGTTTGGTATATATTTTACCATCCTTACTGACAATGAAGCCTTGAAGTTCCTTTTTCATACACACAATCATTTGGCTAAATTTTCCGCAGCAGTTGTACAGGGTTGGATCAAAACGTTTGCTGCGTATTTGTATGACATACAGCCCCCTAAGGGTGGGAACATTCCGCACGTTGATTATGTATCACCATATGCTAATTCTGCTGAAATTGGGAGTTCAAAGTGCCATTGGATCCAACCACTTCCGGTGAGTCATTGACCACTGGTCTATGATACAATGTAGTATGATCATGTTGTTCTGTCGTCAGTCCGCAGAGAATGGAATTCTGATTTGAAAAGATGATTTCCGCGGTTTTACCAGATACGCGACAAACTCCCCGTTACGCCTGATGGGATTTTGTGTTTACAAGATCGATTTGGGTATAGAAAAATGAAGTCCTTTTCTAGCTTGACCTGCAGGTGGCCAGAGCTGAATTCTGAGACTCTCCGCTCGGCAAACAACTGTGCCAGCTGCGCGCACAAAAGGTATTCCAGACTATTGAAATGGACGCCTTGATCCATGTCATGTGAGGCATGGCAACGCCTACGTGCTAACTGTGGTGGTTTATTTTTCGACATTAATAATAATGAATTCATTTTGTCGTTTGCCAGTAGTATACATTACCACATCGGCTAATTCAGACTTTATCATCACAGCTCTCCACAAGACGTTTAGTTGCGAAGAAGGACTGAATGTCTTGGTTACGGACAACGGCCTGAAGGGGTTAGTTAATGGCACCACTATACTGCTCCTAGGCTCTCACGATCCATTGGTGTTGCAGAAAATTTTGTGCTTCCTTAAAATTGCAGTCTTCTCCCTCAAACCAGCAACGTTTACTGAGCGTAACAGAGGCGTTGAAGACTTCCCAATGCAGTATAGGAACGCTGCTCATTCGACCCCCGGAGGTAGCCCGATAAAGTTGTACAAGAGACGCGTGATAAGGACAGATATGTTGCGCCTGGAATCCACCAAAGTGGCAATGATCTCCGACCATCACATGGAATAATCTTAAACCAACTTGGTTCCCCTATGTGTCGAAGAATTATCGGATGGTTTTGTGCACGATAGGAATTCTGATCAATTTGAATGTAGTTCTCCTGTTAGTACTGAGGTTGTTGATGAGTCTAACGACCCTTTGTTTGAGTCTATTACAGAGAGAACTTCACCGGACGAAGAGTCTTCTGAAATTCCACCATAGCAATCGCGGAGGTCTGAAAGGCTCAAGAACAAGGAGCACCGTCATTAAAATGTTGGAACTTCATTTGAACTGCGGTCGATGTGGTGGTTGTCCATGAACAATATTGTACCCTTTTAGCTTTAATGTGCTTACGAACTTAGCGTTATTCCGAAGTCAATGAATAGGATTTCTGTGTACTCTCATTGAGCGTTATTATTTCAGTGTCCTTGCTAGCTCTGGGGTTGAGCCTAATCTATTTCGATTACAGTTGCTTCATTTACCTCGCTTACTCAACTTGATTGGAGCAAAGTATTGCCCACGGTATTAAACACTAATCTCTGCTGAATCAGAATTACATGATTTCAGTTTTTTGTCAGAGTTATCAAGTTATGCAAGTGGTGGGTTGGTAACTTCTGGTTTGCGTAGAAGAAACGTTTAAAAGAAACAGACTATTCCTTTTTCCCTTCTGCAAACAAAGTTACGAGAAACTTTGCAACAAATTGGGCAAGTTTTAGGCTATTTGCTCTATTTGTCAAATAACCTGTAAGGTTATTTGAAGAGATTGAGTGACTGTAGCATAAGTGTCTACATAGAAAAGCCTACTTAACTTGCAACCTCACTTTTAAACGAAAGAGTTAAAGTTCAAGGTGTTGTTAGGATTCTTAATATTCCAATAAACAGAAACTGCGTACACAGCACTATTCGAACTTTCAGATACTAGGAGTTCACTTGAAGCTTGCAAATGATAATGGAATCAGTTGCGCACGTCCGGGAGTAAGCAATTAGGCTTACGATGCGGTTGAGGAAATGATAACAATTTTTCGGCATGCAGATAAACCACGGTTCGTGTTAAAATTCCTAGTCTACTGCGTGTTATATTGAGTCTAAGGAGGCAGTAATAATGATATGACTAGGAGCGTTGCCCGCAGTCATAGTTGATCCATGTTTGATGTGCAAACTTTACTTTCTGAACAAAATGACTTGCACGGTTATACCAATGCTTTTCGTGTGGCCTAAATAGTTGTCTAGGCAAAATGGAAATTTTGCATATTTGGCTGCTCCTGTTGAATTAAGCAACGTTTGACTTTTTACTGGGCTGTTATTCCCAATTACATCCCAATTACATCCAACTTCAAATGCACCATAAACACAGAGGCGGCACGCATAAAACTACGCTTTGCATGCCATTTGCTTGACTTTAAATAATACAATATCATCAAGCTGTTCGCTTAACGGTATGTGAGTTTAATCTAGCAATCAAGTGTCGTCAGAGATGTTAAGCAAGCTAAACGCATGTAGCTACCATAGCAGTGGTTGCGATCTGTATAAGGGCCGAACGGAACGAGAATCGGCACTAAGCGCATTCGCACTCAGCTTGACTTACAGCTTTTGATGTACACGCTCAGCCTTGAAAAAATGAGCGTGACGCGCGCAAGTGCGTATGCCCATTGCTTACATGCCTTTTGAATACTTACGGCCAATACGCTTGCAACTTTCCTTCACCAAATACTTTGTTAGAATACGCGGTTAACCACATTTGGTGGGTTTTGTTGTGTTTTGGATTGAAGTCTAGTGTGCTTACAGGGATACCACAGCTGCGTATCGTTAAAGTTCCGCAGACAGCATTTGATTGGGTATTGACTGTCAAGGATATAAAACAAAATTCTCATGCCTTAACCGATTTGTTGTCAAGTGCCCATGTCCTGTAGCGATTGGAGCAGTCATAGGATTGGCATCGGATGCAACGGAAGTATATTTATTGTCAATAAGTGGAAAGTTTATGCAATGCATATCGCTTTTCAAGGGGAAGAGCTTTCGGCCACCTATGGCTGGAGCCAGCTCACCGAACTCGAGCTATGACTGTTATACATGTCTAGCTTGAATTTAACCTCTAGCAGCTGCGTTGATAATTGTATGTTTTAGTGGATAGAGATTAAATTTGCTGCATCGATTGTCTGTTGGCTGTACTTTTTAAGGCTGTGGTCATTGCAGCTGATAGAATATGTCAACTGACTGTGTAACAGCTTACAAGTGCCTGTGTAACAAATAAACAATGGTAGGAACCTGCAAGGCAGAGGAGGATAGGTTGCACTATATCCTAGTTAGCTTTGGATTTCAGATGGTCGGCCTCGTTCATCATGGTTCAGCGGCAAAAGCTGCTGGCTAGTTGGAGTAAGTTGCTAGCGGCCATGGATTCGATCTCCAGTAGCGTACCGAGACAATGCGTACCTATGGGCAGGCCCGATAGGGCGAAACGATGGTCTGGTGCTGTTCCGGATTGGGGTTTGGTCAACATGGCTTGTGAGCACCTGGGATGAATCTGTGAAATATTATCAAGAATTCTTTTACCCCTCAGTAAATGTACATACGCGTATATGTAAGTATAGGATAATGCTACCACAGACCACATTGACGGAAAGACCCATAATTCAGAGACTGGCTGATTTAATGCATGTTTATTAATTAATAAAAAATTTCCCCTTGCTTATTACGTTCTTCTTTTTGGTGAAAAATAGCACACGTTGCTTGATTTTACAGTGGTTACACTTTACAAATCCAAAGACTATAAAAATTATGTAGATGTACCCATATGCACATACCTACCACCGTGCTGTCTTCCACATATCCCTCTTCTTTTCTTGGTGATTTAGAGACGTCGTCCTTTGCGTTTGGTAAATGATTAGGCTCATCTGGTTGTTGCCTAGATTCTTGGTTCACCGGAGAGTTTCCACCTGTGATGCTTGTCACGTGATTGTTAATGCTGCTGGTCGACTTCAAATGTTGTCGATCCAATTGGGTTCTACCATTCGAAGAAATATTCCAAAAATGTTTTAGGGTGTCTGGTACTGGAAAAGTTGTAGATACGATTAGTGTTTGTGGTTGTGCACCGTCTTCCTCGTCCTCATCCACCACTTGACGATACCTCAAAGCGTCGATGTTGTCACTGACAAGATCCATCGTTGGATCCGCTGTTTGGTTGCTGGAAGGCCTGCATTCAGAGAGCTGCTCTTCAGGTATGCTTGTTTGTCTCATTGTAACGAACGTCTCTTGGGCATCAACATGTGTTTTTGGAGGGGTCGTTGGAGTGTAAGAATGTCCTTGTGATGTATTGCTGCTGCTCGTGCTGGAGAACGTCCGCCTAGCACGCCAGTCGACCGCGGTATTCAATGGTGGATTACATTGAAACTCTGACAAGTCGTAGGTGATTTCTGATGCCGGCTTCTTGAAAGAGGATGGAATATGTTTATATTAGCGAAAGTAACTCAAAAGGGAATTGATTTTAGCGCAATGTATTTTGTTCCTTTAGCAGAAAGTGCTTTGGCCCATGTGCTATGAGCCCTTTTCGTCGTCCATGTTATTTAGCAGTCTCAAAGGGTATGAAATTTGCATTAGAAGATATATCTTCCGAGTGTTCTTTTGCATCGCCTATTAGACTGCGCAGTAAGGATGCAAGAGATCGTATAAGCGCCGGATTGCTTAAATTCAGACGAAGTTTCCTGAAACCATCCGTCTTTTACCACTCAAGTTTCCTATGTGCTCGATTGTTAATGAGCCAGTATTCAGTCCGCCAGTTTTGACTGCATACTTTAATTTACTGTCCAGTATCAATTAGCAAATCTCAATATGTTGACCATTCAATCAAATCAGAATGCAGCCGTCATAAGTGCACTAAACTGACATCACGACTGATGAAAAAACACTTGTAACTACAGCCGCAGGAACGTTCTCACACTCAAACTGAGTCTACTCTTTACCGATTTGTTGCAACGTTAAACGTCTGTCGTTAGCTGTTGTTGAAATTGCTTCCAAACAGAAGCGAACCATCACATACATATTAAAACCATCGTTGTTAGGCTTCAAATGACGAAAGAAATTTCGGAACTAATTAAGCAAGAAATATCTGATAGCACTTTGGCACCTCCTAATTTCCATCTTAGCGGCGTACAAGTGCAGGAGAGATCTTGAAGTCCATACTAAATATTTGGGATCACTTTTTCTAAAGTATCTTGAGCGTTATGTCGCTCATTTGCTCACCGAGCTGGGAAATTTGTTTGTAAACGTAGTGTCACCATGCGATGTAGCATCGTCAGTGCAGTCATATGTAAGATGTAGGGTGAAGTTTATCACCCGCCCTACGACGATACATGCTCGCGGAAGCCGCCGACGTCATCCATAGACAGGCGCATTTTTGCGATCCGTCATCGGATTAATCCGTCATCGGTGTTCCAAATAGTGCGGCGTAATGCCATTTCGCGCCTTTTGCTATTCTCCAAGACCATCGCGATAAGCCGAGTTAGACCAGCTTTATGCGTCCAAAAGCAAATTGTTGTCAACCTGCGGACGTCGCGATCCTAATGCTATCAACATTGATCAAAATCATGAACGTGCTTCGCATGATTATGCCCTAGTATAACTGTAAAAAGATTTCTGGGTTATTGTGTTCGTACTTACGTAACCCAAACAGCGTCCCCTTTGGCTCAGTGGCTTAGGCTGCTGGCTATTTGGCATCTGCCTCTGGCGGTCAAGGGTTCGAACCCCATTAGGTGACCGAGGGAATGCGTATCACTGAGTAGCCTCAATAGGGCAAAACGCGTTTGGTGCTTTACCGGACAAGGCTCCGCTATGTAGCTTGTGAACGATTGGGATGAAAGCCTTATCAATGATACTAGCACCATTGGCGCTAGCATCTACCAAGGTTCGTTTTCTCATTGCGTTGTTTAAACTAATGTCAAGAAGTAAACTTTTTAAATATTGCATATCACCGCACTGACGATACCATCTCGAGAGGAAGCGAAAGTTTACAACCAAAACTTCAAGCTGGACAGATAAATGAACAGAGGAAAAGTCAATTTAAACTACCAGTTTTCCGTATCTTTGGCAATTAAATGACAATTTTCATGCAGCAACCTACGGTCTTTCGTTCTCACTGCCGTCCTAATTCTTGCCTTGTAATTAATGACAACCATTTCTTGTTCCTACGGTAATGAGAACATGATTCCGACTGCATCTGCTCACGGAATGCTATGTCTAACTGCAAACTATAATCATTATTCATCCTCTTTCTCTAGCCAACTTAACGAAAACACAAGTGCATTTACTTTTACCTTTATTCTGTCCGATTGATTAGCAGGGCTATGTTACAAGACAAGTCTAGTGAGGCGTTGTGTTGCTCAGATTGGAAATCTGCTATCGGACCCCCATATTTTCGTAGGCTAACAAGCATGTGCCCCGTAAGCAGCTTTCTTTCAGAAGCGAGTTAGCGTTCCTAATGCAGGGAGCTTTTCTCAGCCTTTTCTCAACCAATTTTATCCATAGTGCAATCATATTTCTCCCTGAGGAAAGCATGTTTCCAAGATCGCACTTAACGCTTTCTACTTGCTTCCAATGGGCGTAAACACTCCAAATATATGCGTACAGTCGTTTGACTGTGCAATCTCAAATAAGTAGATAATATAATAGACGAGTACTTAGCCGGATTTTACTGGATCATTTGGAATTGGTCAATCAATGAACCGTACCATATAGCGGCGTTCATGCTGGTTGGATGTAATTTAAAGCCTTAAGGACCATCTTGAGTGATAGCTTTCGGAGCATGATTTCCTTCAAAAAGAATCTGAGTGAATCCATGGATAGAACTGACTGTGAAGTTATGGAAACTTGAGCAGTGGGTTACTCGTAGTCTATGAAGTGAACTTTAGATTCAAAAAGTAATTTCATGGAACCAGAAGCATAGCACAGGAACGGCGCCTGCCCCGGGCGGTATGTGACAACTGTCGGCGCTTTTAATACCTTTGATTGCTCGATACCAAATATGGAGGGCAACATTTGTGGAAAAGCTGAGGGTTGACTAATTTAATTTTACATTGCATGACGAACAACAACTTGTGCCATGTGTCACATCCGTACAAACGTTATTCCAAGCCATCCGCTTCTCTCATTGTGATCACTTTCCCTTCATCTAACTCAGTGTCCCAAACGATCATCCATTTCATCGAAAACTAATGTGCACTGTACTCTGTGCTGATTTTCAGGGTTTGCAAATTTGCAACTGCCAGGGGGAATTTTCTCACTGACACTGGGGGTAAATTAAGTTGGTGCGCCACTACACAGAACAAGCAGATAAACCACCGGTAAATTTCAGTTTATCCTATCCAATGGGGCTCAACAACTCACTAATGATTATTGCACATTTGGCAGTTCCCTTGATAACTTGTCCCTGTCCATCAACGTATACATTCCATATGATTTTTCCCTTAAACTCGCTGTCACTCCATAATATGCGTATTATCGCCTACTTTCCGTGCTAAACCTTTTATATTGTCACTCCATTGGTTCTATGACATTTTTCCATTTCACAGGATATCGACAAGATAGCATCAACACAAAACCGATTGATGCGAGTTGTGACTAACATAGCCGTTAATGGAGCAATACTATTTCACGTATTCTTGAGTAAATGTTCATAAATTTCGACTTTCCCTTTGCCGTGATCATTCACTGAGATTGTTTTAACGTTTCGCTTCCTTAATCCCTTTGTCTGTTTATAGTCACACTCTGACCATAACGCTATCACTTCTTTTTCTGTTTATGCATCTGATTGGTTCCTTAGTATAGACCGTCCGCACGCATTCAGTACCCTGGTTAATCTTTATATTTACAGGTCATGCATTATAATGATGCCGTTTGTCTGTTAAACCAACCTTGAATCATGTTTCTGTTTGTCCGCGTTCCCACTATTTCATTGGGTGGAAGCAGTCGCAGAGCCAGACGCAACATTCTTTTCGTTGTTCCACTCTTACAGGCAATATGTTTTACCTTGCATGTCCAAGGAAAAGAGTGCACCAACACAATCGCACACAAGGAAACTAGTATTATGTATGTACTGGTGATGTCTCATTTACTATAGTTAGGTGTTGCAAGGTACTTTTAAGATCCGATATAAGAGTTGTGTTGATTTAGGACAGCGTAATTTCTACTCGGGAGCTCCACCGGTAATAACAAATTGCGTTTCAAGTTCAGTAGATTGATGGTCAATCATCAGTGTCAGTCAATATGTAACCATTGTTGTGTATTCCTTGAAGAAATTCCTCATCACGATGAGGGTCTCGTGACTCACGTCATATCAGCCTGACTCACCCCTTTAGATGGGTACGCCGCAGTTATGTTAACACCTACAGTGCCATCCGAAGTAGGAATTGGCATCCCAATAGTTTGTAACTTCTCCATTCTGTATAAATAGTGCCCTTGAATTCAACCATTTGCCTATGCGTTGCTAACCAACTTGAAAGATGACGTAATCATGGCTGCGAACTAGCCGTAAATTTGCAATTCCCAAATCGTTGAACGAGATTTAAATGGAATTAAGACAGTTCGCTGCAAACGATGAGTGTGCAAGTACAGTTTTGGGATTAGTAGACCTGGGCAACTCATTCGGAGAGAAAATCAGTAGGGTTACATATACCCAATTACAATAACATGAATAACGACTGCCCTCTGTCTAAATGTATTGGTGCTGGGGAAACTATGTTATCTACATTAGACTCCTTTTGGTTTCTGAGCTCATTCTGACGTATTGGTTAGGTTATTAAATGTTCAAGCTTCTGCAATGCTAAGAAAAAGCCAAAAGATAGGCCAACTGGCAAAAGTCTCTGTCCCTGGACATCAGCCGATAGGCTGATACGGAGGATTTAGTATGGGGTCTTCCTAGTACCATCGGCTTTGTCAGAGGATGTGTAGCAACAAATTATTCTGAAATTTCTGCGCCTATAGGTTACCGGCTTGGGAATGAAATTATCACTTAGCCAGTTGCATCACAAAGCCTGGCACTTCAAGATATGATCACATGTCTCCCTGGTACGAAGCAGAGTAAATTGCGGATGACTTCGAATTACATTCCAAATCCTTTTCGTAGGTCTACATCTACGCATTACTGCAAAACATAAACTGCACCCCTATAAGTTGGTGACATCCTGAGAGTGCAACTCCCTACCGATACTTTAACGGCGATATTATTATCATTTAGGTGTGTTGGCATAACGTGGTGAGGACTTGGATGCACGGCGTTTATACTGCTTTCGGGAAGAGTAACACGCAATTTTCATCTACCTCATCAGGTACTGTCCCAGTGTTTAAAATGACCAAGGCTTGTTTTAATGAGTATCGCGGTTCACATTGTGACTGCGTGTCGCAGTTCGTTCACACAACAACTGTGTTAAAACGACTCCGTTAATCACGGACACTTACTTCTGAACAAATGATATCGGAATGCTGGCGACAGCAGATTTCGAAATAATTTAGAGAAACAGTAAACTTATCCAGACCAGATGTGATGGATAATATGAGATGAAAGACGCACCATCAAATTTGGAGGAATTTTTGTGACAGAGTTTCTCACTGGCTTCTTGCGTTCCATCGATAAAGTTGTATCATATGATAATAGTGTTGTGGGGTCGCTGTTGATCGCCTCATTGCGTCTTGACTGCAAAGTATGATAAAAACGCAATGTAAATCTAAAGCTCCATAAGGATGAATGTTTATGACTATCGAAAAGTGTAAAAGAAAATCGCAGTGTTGGTGATATCCAACCCACAGAACGACAGCTTAAGCAATCTCCCTGCCAGTGACCATAAAATGATCCGACTCAGTCTCCATGTTAAAATGGGCACAAAACCTGCCTATACACCGCCACTTGCAACTCATGAAATAAATTGGGAATGCTTTCAACAATTCCTTCGTTTCTGTCACTGGGGCTTATTTTTCTTCTCTACCCATGTGTACACCATTGTGGGGCTGTTTTATAAACAAATCCACCACGCCATAGCCATCCTTGCTCCACAACATGTTCATCTCCCTCATGTCCCCAAAGGTGCCGTTGCACACTTAATTAGTAAGAGAACTCGAAAAATTGCTGCAAGATACAGAAAGACCCATTACTCTTCACGTATCTTAAAAAGGTACGAATTTACCACTCAGATCAAACATGCGCAATTAACACGACGAAAAAATCAAGAACATATAGCCCTAGGAACAAGCTGCATTGCTAAGGAGCTTGGCAAGGTACTGTATCGTGGAACCAGTGATCGCTCTCCTCTGATTTCCGAAGTTGCTGACGGTGAGCGCCACTTTCTCCATGACCCAGCTGAAATCTGTGCAACATTCAGTGACTTTCTTGCAACTAGCATGAGTCGTGAAGCTGACCCTGTGTGTGTGCAAAGAGCTTACAGTAACAAACCTAGTTAGCATAGTCGATATCCCGCTCAAAGTTATCCATTAAGTTATCAAGACAATCAGGTCATGCTCCAGGCTGGGACCTGAAGGCATTTCACCAACCATCATTAAACTAGTAGCTCCTGATATACCACTTCTCCTGATGAGTATGTTTACCTTGTTTCTGGAATCTGCCCAATTTCCAGCTCAATGCATAACTTGATATATCATACCTCGGTACAAAAGAGGTTTCAAACAAATGATCGCTAACTACCGACCAATCCACCACACTCCAAAAATCGTTAGGTTATTCGAAAATTGGTCAGAAATGAAGTAATGAACTTTGTTGATGCTTTGGACCTAAAAAATAATTGGCTACTTGGTTTTTTGGCAAGCAAACATGCACCACCTATCAACTGTATTACACGAACTAAGTTTCCTTATCGATCAGTTTCGGCTATATAGTAGTAATACTGTTTGTAGTCATACACCAAACCTTCGACTGAGTATCTAGCAGGCAGCTGTTACAAAAGTCGGAGTCCTTTTGGGATCCGTGTCCCATTATTAGGTTGGCTGTCATCATACCTGAGTGGTAGTCATCAGGTAGTTACTTTAGATATCTATCGCTCTTCTCCACATTCTAGCACCAGTGCGGTCATTCACTCGAGCGTGCTCAGTCCTACACTCTTTCTGTGGTACATCAATGACATCAGCATATCAGTAAAACATGGTACACCATTTTTACTTGCTGACGATATCAAGACCCTCTGTAAACTTCCGCGTGACGAGCTTCATGGGACGCTACTGCTTATTCAAGATGACTTACATTCTCTTGAGTCGTGGGGTCGCACATGGGTGATGAACCTCCCAGTTAAGAAAGCAAGCATCATGTATTACGGCTGCTGCATCCCCGAAGGATCCATAAACCTAAACACTGAACGCGTCTGTACACATCTGTCCTCGCAAGATCATTGAGTTAGGTACTTGTCTACCTTCAATTTCTCCGAGCAGACCCAGTATCAATGAACATGTACCAGATAATCTATGTTCGATTTAGCAAACAAAATCCACACAACTCATGCTAGAGTTGAGCTTTACAAGCTACCCACAAGCCTATCCTCGAATACTGCAGTATAATATATGGCAATAGGTGAGTGAAAAATTGCTGTCGTGCAGCTGCAAAAGTCCATTACTCGATATCTGATTGATAAACGCTCTGCTATAAGTTATCGCGGACGCTGAAATGAACTTCAATTAGAACCACTTTGGATTCGACTATTGAAGCACAACTTGTTGTTGCTTTTCGACGTGCTACAAAAGAAGACCTATTCCGACCTGCCCACACTCGAATGATAACATTGCTCAAGCGCTTCACAGTAAAGATTTTCCACTGAATATACCGAAGACTAGAACGAAAGTTCGCTCTACTATTTCTCATGGTCGGATATGGCTATCTGTGGAATAAACTACCAATAACCCTCAGGTCATGCGACAGTGTGACAACATTTAGAAGCGGACTATCCTGTTACATTGATCTAAATGCCATAATCACTATATTCACATGGAAAAATTCTCTCGATGAGCTATTCCAAGAGGGAGTCTAAAATCATCTACACATCAATGTTTTCAAAAATAGATTTCGCCTCAGTTATCTACCAGAAGCTTGCTACATGGAACGCCTACACCATTATTTCACCTATGCATGTCAATCATGCAAGAGCATTAATACTTTTGGACAAATAGATCTATGCCGCTACGGGCGCAATTTATCGCATCAGGAGAAATATACGTAGTGTTATGCTTAGCATTAAAAATCTCTATCTAAATCACGTTGAACTATGTTAAAAGGACATGGGTACGGTTTTCATTGGCTCTTACTTACTTTCAATGTATGCAACCACAAATGCATAGCTTCTTCCGTCTCAGCTTGGAGAACATGCTCTTTGTCGTCCGAACTACCAAAGAAAACGGAATGATGGGATTTGATTTAGCAGTTGACAGAAGTACTCTGCTCTTAACGGACTATGTTTGCTCTTGAAAGTGTCCAAATCTGAAATGCTTACACTACACGGATGTTGTCGTCAAACTGGTACGAAACAACTGAGTAAAAATCTATGAGGCTGTATGTCGAAAGCCACTGTCGCCGTCTGTGCTGTTACCACCGACTGCTGGCATTCAACGACCGTATGGAGAATAAGGAAGAGGAACCGGGACAAAATATATGAGAACTTTGCTTTGCATAAACAGAGTACAGTATTGGTAGAAGAACGGCTGATAAATCATGTCGGATCTAACTAACAGAACAGAAGAGTGAAGCGCGACCAATCACGTGTGTCCGAGAAAACAGTATTTGTGGAAATGGGACCCTATGAGAATATCATTTACAAACCATTAACGAAATGGCGCGTCTAAACAACTGCTAAGGAAAAAGCAATAGCGAAGTAAAAGCCGGCGAATAAGCGTCGTTAAAATAAGTTTATATTTAGTAGGCGTCCTCATAACACTACAAGTTTCTTTAGGTCGTTTATCCAAGAAGAGAAAATGCAGTTACACGCATCTCAAAGACGAGGACCATTTTTCAAATGAATGCGCCCTTCGGTAACATTCAAATTTCATGCTTTTTAGTGCAGCCATTGACAAAAAGCAACACATGCAGGCAGAGATAAGCATAAACATACAGTTAAAATTCTCAATATATCTGCGGTCAAATAAAGATTTTTCATAGAGTGATGCACGAAATCTACTCAAAAGTTACACATGAGTGTCTAACGCCAGCTGTAAAAGGAGGGGCTGGAGCGTTGCTGTTTGGAAACTCCACGATAGAGCGTAGGCAAATAAGTTCAAATCATTTCCTATTCGTTTATGCTATCGTCATCATGTATCCACATCTGCACCGCAAATGTTGCATCGCGAAGCCTGTTGTCGTTGCATACGCACATTACATTAAAGTGAATGAAAATCTCTCATCGGCATTAAAATTTTGCAGTTGCTGTTTTAATCTAACTACCTTGTTTATACTGCCAGTATGGAAAACAAGTTGCCCTTAAATGTGAAAATGGTGAAGACGCCACTTCTATTCACAGAAAAAGCAGTTTCACTGGGATTACAGTTTACCGCCAGTAACTCCGGTCATAATATATACAAAATGAAAGATAAGGATCACTCCGATAAAACGATTGTCCAAATGAAACGCCGCGGTTTCATCAAGCCCGAGTCCTATCACGTTGTCAACAAAGTGTAACACAACTCCACTACTTTAAAATGGCTGCAGTAGCGCGGCATTAGAAGCGAGCGGAGAGCTACTAGCATCAGCATGTAATCCAAATATGTATACTTAATTGAATACTCGTTTCCAACTTTTCAACCCTTCATTCCTCATAATCTAATCATCTGTTGGGTGAGGAGGTAACATCCTGCAAGGACGTTGGTCGAAAGCAAGGTGCTAGAGACCCATTTCCAGACCAGTTCAAGTTTAATGCAGTGAATGTAGGGTGTGTTGCTAACGCCCAGACCATAGTTGGCCTACACAGATAAGTTGTCTCCTGAGTTAGATACTATTGCTACGTTAAATTGAGGCATACCGCAGTTTCAAGAGGCAAAAGTTTGAAAAGGCTTTCCCACGCAGCTTAACTAATTTTCCAACAAGGTGGTCCAATTGGGATTGCTATTCAACGTGGGTAGGAATATGTCAGAGCAGCAAGGGATGTAAATTCTCAGTGCTGAGTGAATATAACAACGGCAGTGCTCTCACAATAACCTAATCATCCATGCCATCGCATCCAAATTCTTAGCAAAGAAATCAGTTAATTGTAACCCTATGAGAACTAAAGCAGATCAGATTGCCAGTATAATCATTTTTACGTTTAGATTAACAAAGCCTGTAATAACGTCGCAAACTTATTTTCTTATGTCCCAGCAACTCATAAGTCACAGTGTCTAACCCCCAATCCGGCAACACCAAAACAACTTCCTACTAGTTAGTGATCAGTAGCTTCCGCTTCACTTTTGCAGTATCCCTTAAGTGCATGACCATCGAACTTGTGTTTCGCTTCGTGAGACTTGAAACATGGAAATAACTATTTGACGCTCCCTACATGACCGTACGTTAATTAGGCGTGCCCTAAAAATATCGACCAAGTGTTAGTTATATATTTCGATATTACGAAACTCACCAGTGCACGAAAGCATTGGAAGCGGAAATGCAGCTTATAGTCTTTTAACTACACTAGTATATAAACCCGGTACCTTTTTATTTATGCTATACTTGAATTAACAATCAAGTCATCCAGCAGTGCGCGTAAGCACCGACTTCTCTGCGCGTAACATACCATTGCTTCGTTGCGACTGGATAGTTGAGATGATGGGTTGACCAACATTTGCGCGTAGCCCACTGAGCCTTGCAAAATTAGCCACTTGAATGGCCCACAGTCGAGATTAAATAATCCATATAAAAATGCAAAAATTTCCATCCTTTAAATGGATAGATATAAATGCTTTGAATGGCGCCTTATTTGTGCGTGTTATTATACAGTCATTACACATAAGAGTATACCGTTTTTGTTAGTTAGATGACCTGACCATAACAGCCATTTAGATAAGTGTAAACACGAACTGGTAGCTAGACCGTGGAAATAATTCGTCGTAATCCGGATTCTTTAAACATTTGGGGGAAAATCATTTGCAAACTTTCAGCACATGACAAACATCCGCAGTCTGTCGCCGGATCGCGTCATTACGAATGTATATGTAGCAGATAATCCTCTTTCGAAATGGTAGTTTCATCAAAGCGGGCTGCGGTTAGCTGAATTGTTATTAATCTAATAATTTGATTTACATGAATGGGAGTTAAAACAATACACTCAGGGGCAAAGGTTTTAACAGTCCTTAAGGCCCAGGTTAGAACTGCATGGTACTGTCTGAATATGACAGATGCAATCATATAAATACCAGTTGTGGAATAGTATTAAGAGAACGCAATAATTGAGATTTTTCTGTTGTACATACGGTCCCTTTGGCTGCTGTTAAATAGCGGCCTATAGTTATGTTACGTGTTACTAATGCCCCACAGGTCAACTATGATCACATATCCCTTTATGGGGAGAATAACAGCTGTTGCCACTTGGTGACAGGCAAATGGAAGTTGTATGCAATATTTTTAGTATCGACAGACCAAACTGCCTGTTCGGATTACATGGGGCTATAGGTTCATGGAAGGTTTAAACAAGGACTAGGCGAGACCCTAAGGCAAAGCCAGCGTCATCTTTGCTCTTCCATGTCGGTTTTAATGTCTTCAGTATCATGGATGTGGTGTTAGCCGATGAGTATAAACAAAAACGCTCCATTGAGTTTTCTGGAAAACACTTAAAATTTGTTTCGAAACGAGACCAAAACTTTTTGAAAGTTTACCTGTAGTTCTTTTATATAGATAAAGAAGAGAAAAGTTTGGAACAATAATTTTATTTTTCCCAATTATCCTACATCTTAGGAATGGCTGCGGTGTTCTCAGAAGATCAATATGCAGTTCGTGGTTGCTATTTGCACGGGTTCACACAAGGGCGCAAAAACGGCCGAGGCTTGTCGAAACCTGCGTAACCTAGTAGGCACGGATGATCCAAGTGACCGTATGGTGGCGAACTAAGAAATAGTTAAACATCAGAGCTCAAGGATGCAAATAAGCGAACATCGTCAGTAAGATGCAAGACGCCGTTGATGAGGATCAGAAACAAAGTGCGTATGAAGTTTCGTCACTCTATGCCTCTCCGGAAACCACCATTCATCACTAATCCGGAGTGGGGTATCAAAACTCGGACAACTTCTGCGCAGCTTAGGCACCACTGTTCCATCTCTATTCTATTGCTTACCCAGTGACGCAAACATTGAAGGCTGCAAGTTGTCGTTACCGCAGACGAGAAATGCGCGTTCCTTGTCAATCATAACAGGAAGCGCCAGTAGATCGTAGCAGACGAGGTGCCAATACGAGTCATGAATGAAAAACTGCAAGACCAAAAAGTAATGCCATCATTCCAATGGAATTGCTACGTCGTCATCTATTGAAAGCAGCTCCCTGACAGTTCCACGATTATAACCGATGTCTACTGCCAACCGTTGAAAGAGATAATCGACGAACACGCAAGAAAGCGTCCGAGAGCTCCAATGTGACTGAATCCGAGGCGAACTGCATGGAAGATACGTTACTATAGACGACAGGAAAAAAAAGTACACCCTATGCAAACTAATATAGGTTCAATTTAAGCCGGCCAGATGATACGCCTCGTCCGTCTCCCAAACTCCGTACACTACGGTGAAACACGTTTACTCCAGATAAACCTTCAGTCAGGTAATGATGCAGAGTCAGTTCTCTTGTCAGCCATACGCCTGCGTACCGGCTTATGCACTGTTCGAATCCACCTAGATGTTCCTTGGAGCAAACGTCAGCAATGCTAACAAAATCCGGGTGAAATGGAATTTTTGGGTAATGTTCCTCCCAACACTGGCACCCCACGACCGCGGTTTCGTCCTGGTTTGAAATCATGAGGTGGAGATAGCCAGAGCTGGTGTGGAACTCAGAACCTAGTGGTTCACGGCTGACACCATAAACACTATGCCACTTAGATCTGCAAGCAAAGCTTGGTACAGTGGGAAGGAATTCAAAGTTGGACTTGGAGAATCCGCTGTGTGGTGGGGGTACGACGCGAAACCTCTATTTAGACGTCGGTTCCCTTGAGGTGGACCTTGGTCTTTCCGATCGTAAGGACCGTATCTGAAATGGAATTATTTGGGTGTTGCTCTTTTTAACACTGGCACCCCACGACCGCGGTTTTGTCCTGGTTTGGACTCATCAGGTGGAGGTAGCATGAGCTGGGGTGGAACCCAGCTACTAATGGTTCGGGACTGACTTCCCTACACAAACAGATTAAATCGATCCTCATTCACGGAGTCCCTGAGCTCCAGAAGT